ACTCCCCACTGAGCCCTTGATGTGCCCCAGAATCCTTTGCCCCAGTTCCCTGTGACATTTTACTGGAGCTGGGGCAGGGAGTGAACTGAATTCATGTTTTAATGTCTAAAGCAGCTTCGTGCTATGAATGTTTTTTCGTAATAATACTACTGCTAGGATTCATCAAGATCAGGCAGATAGTTTAAGGGTGCCCCTAGCAGCTACTTGAGATGGATCAGATGAGCAGCTGTACTTACGGAGTGGAGTTGTCCTCCCAAGACAATGCTGGGACGCCCCCCTTGAGAGCCGCTGGTGTGGAGAAATCTTTGCCCCACCAAGGTGGGGAGTCAGAGGGCTATTGTGGTATTGCTTTGGCACTTTCATGGTGAGACGCTTGGGTCCTTGGACGGGTTCCAATTCACTGTCTCCCTGTGCAGCAGCTGATGGCACCTTCCTGCTTTCCTGGCATGATTCATCCACCTCCACTCTGGCCTCTCACGCCCCTGGCAATGACAGGCCAGCAGCAGGGCTGTCTCTCTCTCAGGCAGGTCCCAGATGACTGCTTTCAGGAAGGTTTCCATAGCAACTGAAGTCAGGAAAAACCTGCCCACCAAGTTCAGTGCCTTACTATCCGGCCCATGTTTAGGGAGGGGTGCAGGCAGGAGCAGCCGGTGTGGTGATCAAGCAATTGGCAGGGAGAGGTAGGGTGACCAGATGTCCCGATTTTATAGGGACAGTCCCGATTTTTGGGTCTTTTTCTTATATAGGCTCCTATTACTCCCTCTCCCACCTCCTGTTCCGATTTTTCACCCTTGCTGTCTGGTCACCCTAGGGAGAGGGGACACTGTTAGGCAGGGCTGTTGTGGCCGAGTGGGCAAGGAAAGGTGCTGTGTTCCTGTGTGGCTGCACTGTGATGAGGAAGGAACCCACAGCAGCAGGCCTCTCCCTCCTCCCTTCATTTCCTAGCAGGCTAGATAATTAACTTGGCTTCAGTTCACTTTCTCCTCCACAGCTGTGCCCAACCCGCTGGGCTCGCCCCTCGTTAACATGCAGCTGACGGGCTGTGTGCCCTGGGGCTTTGCGCACAGGTTGGGCTGTGCAGAGTCTGGGACAGAGAACAGCAGCATTGTAAAATGCTCCCCACTCAGGTGCTTGAGGCGCTGGTCAGTGATTCAGAGTGAATGTAACGTAAACCACAGTGTAATACCAGGGAGTCTAAAGAAACCTAAAGGGACTCAGAAAAACAAGTAGGGCGAGGAGCCAAATTCCACCATGACCTAACCCCCCTGCACCTCTAATTGGCTTCAGTGAAGTTGCCTGTGCAAAGGGTAAGGTGATCATATGTCCCGTTTTGGCTGGGATAAGTCCCTTTTTTTTTTTTTTTTTTTTTTTTTTTTTTTTTTCTGTCCTTCCCGATTTTTTTTTTTTTTCCAAAAGTGGGCATTTGTCCCGTTTGCTCTTGCTGATTTGATCAGTTGGCAAAACTAAACAGGACAAGTGCCCACTTTTGGAAAAAAAGGTGGGATGCAGTGCAGAGGAGGTGACTGCAGAGATGCCAGTCCCCGCAGGGGGAGGCGGGACTGGGGGGAGGGGGCAGCGTTACAGCATGTGGGCCCCTGCAGGGTTCCAGTGACCAGGCAACAGCCTTGCGTGGGGGGAGGGGGAGAAGTGCAGGGTTCCAGCGATGGGCAACAGCATGGGGCGGGGCCCCTCGGGCGAGCAGCTGGGGGTGCCCGTTTTCTCTTTGGGAAATATGGTCACCTTAGCAAAGGGTAGGATGTGGCCCAAGCGCTCTACACCCGGGGCCCAATCACCTAAGACACGGTGGTAGCAACCTTTAAAAGGCAGTGTCAAAATGCGGCATGAGAGGGGGAGAAGTAGCCCCTGTGGAAAGTTCCTAACCAAACCTATCTGCCAGGTTTGGATGCTGCTAAAGCTCACGAGTAAAATGAGTTTGGAGGTTCTAAGCTCAGTTTTTGGTGGTGGCTTATTCACATTGCATAGTTACTGCATAGTTTTCCTTTTAGCTGCTCAGGAAAGACCCAGCACTGAAAGGGGAAGAGGGATGCAAGGCAGAATTCAGGGGGTTTAACAACTACATGTGGGAAGCAGTTGAGGACAGCATGGACAAGTGCTGTGCATAAGTTCCAAACAAGTTCTGCTCCTGAGAGAGAAGTTGATAGTTTTTTCTCACTACAGGTGGTGGAAATAACCAATATAGGTAGGTTCAGTAGGTGAAGTTCTGCTGCTAAATTTGATTCTGAGCTACTCACTGGTCATGCCATCTGATCCCATTTAGACAGCTGTTCAGATAAGGAAGGAAGGAGCATTGTCATATATGTTCTCAAACATCTGCTTTCCACTCTGTATCAATGGCCTACACGCTGCCCAGCTAGGGATCCTGAACCGTTATAGTTCCAGTGATGTTTGTCACTTGCCATTGGAGTTCAGCAGGTGCTGAAGACATGAGTCTTAATGGACCAAGTCTGTGTTTGGGAGTCTGGTATAACCTGGGATGCTTTTAAACAATTTAAAGTCCCAAATCTAGATTTTAGTGGGCTTTTATACAAAAAAGTTTTATAAAACCTGACAACTAATGGTATGACTTTTTTTTAAATTCAATGTAACAAGTCTATGTCTGGAGTGAAATCTTTCCTGCAGTCCTGGCAAACCCTCTACAAACCTGCACATGCTAGAGAGCTGAGAAATGAAGCCAAATAGTCTGGCTTCACTGTCTGAGCTGATAGAAGAGACCATCTTCCAGCCAATCAGGATTGTTCCCTACAGTGTGTTCTCCTGTGCAGGGCCCAGTTCATCTTAGGCCGTGTCTACACTATAAAGTTTTGCTGACCCAAGTTACATTGGCATACAGCCGCTGCAGTCAGTATATCACTTGTGCACATGCGTACTTGGCTGCATGCATCAGTGCTGCTTGTATGCACCAGGAGAGGTTGTGTCCAAGCACAGTGCAATGCACCAGAGATAGGTATCCCAGTATGCATCCTGCTACCATTCAGCACGCTGTCTTTTGGGTAGTTTTGGTAACTCATGGTGGGGCAGAAATAAGTTGCACAGGGGTGACTGAGAGCAAGGAGTCAATTTCCCATAATGTGATGTTCTCCATCCCATAATAGCTCTATCCTGTAATTTCCACAGCTATTTTAAATTTCCCATGAATCCGCACAGGACTTGTCACTGTCCACCATCTCTGACAGAAGCATGGAGCCGGCACAGCTCTGCACTATTGTCATGAGCATTGCAAGCACAAGACACACAATCCTCTGGTATTTGCAGAGCCAGAAGAACAACTGTGGGAAACATTATGATTTCCTCATGGTCAGTTTGCTGTGGGATGTAGTGAGAACCAGTTTGGTGGCATTCATGGAGCAGCTGCTTCTGAACCTAAGAAACAAGCCATGGCTGGTGGGATTGCTTTGTAATGCAGGTTTGGGATGATGAGCAGTGCCTGCAGAACTTTTGGATGCACAAGGCCACATTTCTGGATCTATATGCCGAGGCACTCCAGCCATCCAACACAGGAATATCAAACTGAGAGCTGTACTGACAGTGGAGAAGCAAGTGGCGGCATGCTGTGGAAACTTGCCATGCTGGATTATTACGAGTCAGTGGGAAGTAATTTTGGCGTGGGAAAATCCACTGGGCTTGTTACTCTGGCTCTTCAGAGGCATCCACCGTGGTGTGATGGGTGGCGGTGGGGTCTCTGCTAAGTATGGCATGCGGCTCTTTATAAAAGCAGCAGGTCTGGGGCTTAGCACCGGATTGACTGTTGGCTTCCCTGGCTTTCTGGTATGCCTGCTGGTCCCTGTCGAACCCCTTCTCCTGCATCCCCCGAGCAATCTGCTTGTAGATGTCAGTGTTTCTTCGTCTGGATCGGAGCTGTGTCTGCACAGCCTCTTCTCCCCACTGGCTCAGGAATTCCAGTATTCCCTGTCTACTCAGGCAGGAGCGCATCTGGAGCGTGTAGCTGGCATGGGCAGTTGCACTCAACAGTGGAGAGCTGCTGGGTGTGCTCATCAAGCTGGGCAATCAGGAAAGGGCTTTTCAAAAATTCACAGGGCTTTAAGTGGGGGCAGGGGACCCTTCCAGTCAATGTAACCTCTGGGCAGTGGAGTTAACAGTTGTGACCAGAGCGGTCAGCATTGGGCATTGTGGACAGCTGCGGGAGGACTGTTAGGGTCGACATAGGTAATGTGGTGTCTACCCTTGTGCTGCGTTGACCTCTGCTCTGAGAGCTGGTGTTACTGTGTTGGCATAACAGAGCACTTAGATAGGTGGGAGACAAATTTAAGTGTAGAAACATGCATGATTCGGTCAACAGAAGGTGGCTTACGTCAACCTAACTTTGTAGTGTAGACCAGGCCTCAGAGTATGCTGAGTGGTGAGACTCCGACTTCATCCCTTGGGAGACTATTCCACAGCTTAATAGACCTCACTCTTATGAAATGTTTCTCTCTCTCTTATTACTCCTCGTTATATCCCCTTGTACCACTCAGAACAATTCCTCTACAGCCTCAAGGTTTACACCCTTTGTATTGTGCAGATATTCTAAAGCTTTCCCTGTAATTCCTGGTGTACGGTTAGCGGCGTTCCCTCCAGTCTTGAATCATGCTCTGAATTCCTTCCAGGTCATGTTTTCCTAGTGCCCACCATTAAATGCAGGATCCTGAGTGTGTTGTAAAATTAAGCAAACAGCTTCTATGGTGAGAGGCAACTTGATTTTTGATGTTATTTTCCCATTAAATCTGACATGATTTTAGTATCACAAGGATGGTGTAAAGAGATCATTTTACCCTTGGTTGTGTCCCTTTGTCACTCAGGTCAGAAAGGAATTTCCCCCAGGCCATGTGGATAGGTCTTGGGTTGAGGGGATTTCATCTTCCTGTGGAAAATTGTTGGGGGGTTGTTCATTAGGAGCAACTGGGACACAGTTGACCCCAGATGTTGAATGAATACTCTCATGAACACTTCTGTTTTTTCTACCTTATTTTTTTTTCTTGTAGCAGAGCAGTGACCTAAGACTTTTTGGAGGGCAGTACGCCTAGAGATACACGCCGCCCTTCATCACGCACACTCCTCCAGCACCATGTCAGGTAGGCAGAGGATGCCAGGCCTTGGAGCATATTTTCCTGCCTATGTCTGAGGGGAGGGCCAGCAACAATAAAGCTCTATTGAAAGAGCCTGTTTGTTCTTTTTCACATGAACTGCTGCTGGTAAGTTACTGTCTCAAGGAACCATTTCTCCTTCGAGTGATGGTCCCTATTGTATTCCATTGTGGGTTTATGCATGCGCCTGGAGTCAGAGAATCTGAAAGTAATGTCCGTTGGTGCGTGCATGCGCCCTGGCTAACCTCATGCCTCCGACCAACGGGATAAAGGGTGTGGCAGACCAGCCACATCTCCTGTTCCTTCTTACTGCCACATGGTCTGGGTCAGAACCTCTCTGTGTTCATAGCTTTGGCGTTAGCTTACAAAATAAGATTTAGATCTAACATTGTTAATAGTTTTTAGCAGCTTATACAGTTTTATAATTTAGTGTTTTTATAGATGTTGGTGTTAGACTCTTTTCGAGGGGGAAACGTTCACCTCCCTGTAGCCCAGGTGGGTAGTGGACTACGCCCAAGACTCTGGGCTTCAAACTCTGCGCTTCCCGTCTGCAATCCTTCTCAGTCAGCAGTGACCACCTGTACTGCCTTGGGGAAGCTCACGTTGCACTGAATTGCAGTATCTGCCGGTCATTCCCCAATCATATCCAAGAAAGGTGGGAACTTTGTCTTTGGAAACACCTCATGGAGAAGACCATGCGTCCTCAATCAAAATGAGGGTAAGGAACCCTCCCATACATCAGCCTTATTCAGCAAGGAGTACGCCTCCTGCTACAAAGTCCAAATCTGGTGGAAGCTTGTCAGGAATCAAAGAAACTCTCATAAGCATGAGAGTAAGTCTTCTTCTAAATCCACTTCAAAGAAGTCGGATTCGGCTCGGAGCAAGCCCATCAGCTTGGCCTAAGGGAACTTAGTATGTCCTGAGTTCCAGATGCACGAGAAGAAAGCCCATAAACATTGGGCTACATCAGTACTGGACCGCGATCGGTCAGTACCGTCATCCTGGGCACCTCCCAAGCCCCAGGATCTGCTGGCACTGACTAAGACTGATTATCACCAACTTCGCCTATCCATGGCACCATCTTCCTCAAAAGTAAAACAATCTCCTCTGGCTCCAGCAGCTTGGACAGATAGAACCCCTTTTACACCGGGAGAACGGAATCCCTTACTGCTCCACCGGATGTTTTTGCTCTCCCAGATCCAGAATCTTGGGGCTCTGTTCACACATTTGTGAGACATTACACCCTGGTGCAGGACTCCTCTGCTGATGCTTCCTTTGGGATGGCGATCCTTTACTCAGCCCTACTGTCTGCCTCCTCACACCCTTCTCCTACTTAAGTACTGCTTGTCAGTCACCCACAATGGAAAACAATAGGGACCATCACTCGAAGAAGGGGAGGTTACTTACCTGTAACTGGAGGTTCTTTGAGATGTGTGATCCCTATCTGTATTCCACAACCTGTCCTCCTTCCCCTCTGCTTCGGATCTGATTTGCACTAGAGAAGAAACTGGACAGATGCTCGGTCTGCCCCTTGCTTTAGCCCCTCTATCGGAGGCACAAGGTGAGCCATGGCGCATGCGTGGACCAATGGACACTGCTTTCAAGTTCTCTGGCTCCGAGCGCATGGTGTGCATACGTAAACCCACAGTGGAATACAGATAGGGGTCGCACACCTCGAAGAACCTCCAGTTAGAGGTCAGTAACCAGAGAAATTAATTTATTTTAATGTGCTGCTTTGGTTGGGAGACCAACTGTAAAAATGCCTCTTCCTTTCCCCCAAAATGATCCTGCCCATGTTCAATTGGTATTAATCCAGTTCTCCCCAGCCATGCCACACGGAGCCCTGCAGAAGCTGTCCCAGCCATGGGACATAGAGGGAGAGAGGCTGAAATCTATTCTGCTTCATGCATCATCATCACCACTTTGCTCAGCTCTATTCCTATCCAGGATCTTTCCCTCATGGTGGATTTGATGTTGTATGAAGCCAAAAAGAGGAAAAAGCTTTGTTCAGAGATGTGTAGTGGAAGTTCTCTCCCGCTTTGCTCCAACTACCAGCTGATCAGCCTGGGGTGGGAAGGAGGCTGAGGGGTGGTTAAGCCTTGGTCGTCTGATCCTTTCAGTCCAAGCGTTAGTAAACTATGACCATGTCTACACTCCAGGCGTGACAGTGGCACATCTACACTGCTGTAGTGTAGGCTCTTTCCACAGCGACTGAAGGGTTTTTTGTTGCGGTAAGTAATCATAGACGATTAGGGTTGGAAGAGACCTCATGAGGTCATCTAGTCCAACCCCCTGCTCAAAGCAGGACCAACACCAACTAAATCATCCCAGCCAGGGCTTTGTCAAGCTGGGCCTTAAAAACCTCTAAGGATGGAGATTCCACCACTTCCCTAGGTAACGCATTCCAGTGCTTCACAACCCTCCTAGTGAAATAGTGTTTCCTAATATCCAACCTAGACCTCCCCCACTGCAACTTGAGACCATTGCTCCTTGTTCTGTCATCTGCCACCCCTGAGAACAGCCGAGCTCCATCCTCTTTGGAACCCCCCTTCAGGTAGTTGAAGGCTGCTATCAAATCCCCCCCTCACTCTTCTCTTCTGCAGACTAAATAAGCCCAGTTCCCTCAGCCTCTCCTCATAAGTCATGTACCCCAGCCTCCTAATCATTTTCGTTGCCCTCCGCTGGACTCTCTCCAATTTGTCCACATCCTTTCTGTAGGGGGGGCCCCAAAAGTGGACGCGATACTCCTGATGTGGCCTCACCAGTGCCGAATAGAGGGGAATAATCACTTCCCTCAATCTACTAATACAGCCTAATATGCCGTTAGCCTTCTTGGCAACAAGGACACGCTGTTGACTCATATCCAGCTTTTTGTCCACTGTAATCCCCAGGCCCTTTTCTGCAGAACTACCGCTTAGCCAGTCGGTCCCCAGCCTGTAGCAGTGCATGGGATTCTTCCGTCCTAAGTGCAGGACTCTGCACTTGTCCTTGTTGAACCTCATCACATTTCTTTTGGTGCAATCCTCCAATTTGGTCATTCTGGACCCTATCCCTACCCTCCAGCGTATCTACCTCTCCCCCCAGCTTAGTGCCATCTGCGAAAATCCACCTCTCCGGGCAGAAGTAGCTAGATCAACAGAAGAAGTCTTCCATGGACCTAGCTGTGTCAGCACAGACACAGCACTCAGGGGTGTGCATTCTGAGCGCCATAGCTATGTTGACCTAACTTTTAGGTGTAGACCAGGCCTGTATCCAGCAGGGACAGTCTTAGATTCTCTCACCCCACATTCGCAGCCCTTCCCCATCTCACTTTTACTCTCCTCACAACAGTTCCTTCGGTGCCATCCATCCGTGGTTGAGGTGCTGCTGGACGACTGCAGCAGTGCAAACCACTTGCCCAGAGCTGTGATGCTCCCAACTGAACAGAGCAGGGGGTTGAGTCTGATTAGCGAACTTGGCTCCTTTTTCTTTTAAATGAGCTATGGAATGGGACTAAATCTGACTTTAGGTTTTTTGTTTTTACTGTAACTGCAGTTTCAGCCACCGCTGTTTGAACTCCCACTACAAGCTCTGAGAGGAGGGTAGATTTATCCCAACCCCTCAGTTCTAGTGGAGCTGCCGCCTCTTGGAGGAGACAGATTTGGGGGCTATGTAGATGTCATTCAGCTCACAAGTTAAACTGGGTCTGGATGACAAAGCTCCAGGAAACGCCAGGTGCGGTGGGAATTGGGACTAGTGACTCAGCAGGTGGTAGTCGTTGCTCCATGAAGATTGAACGAATGCTCCGATGTGGCACATGGGAATGCTGTTTAGTTATGTTTCAGATGAGCCCTAAAATCACAATGAGACATGATCATTTCACTTCCCTGAACGCTCTCTCCATTATCCCTAGGGTACCTGATCTTGCTCTTGTGCACCTTTACTTAGTCATTACAATGTCTGAAATGCTGGTATAAAAAGTTTGCTTCGAGTTCCATTCTAGAGGTGCTTCCTTTTAGTGGGAGTGACACTTACTATTTTGAGTTCCCGAGGGATGAAAGATGCTACAGAAACATAAGCTGATGCTGTTTGCTTCCTTGGGCATGGTAGCACAGTTACTAAGGTGATGAGAGCTGTATAAATACCTAGATGCCATTGTAACCACCTGACATCTCACTGAATTTGTTGGCTGTCAGTATTAGGTGTTAGTTAATATCTGCTAAGCTGCTCCTTGTTCTTAATTATTGTGTGTGTTGATCCCTTTGTATTTAGGAAACCACACTCCCTCTTCTGGGGGCCCCTTCTCAGCTCTCACCCCCAGCATCTGGCCACAGGAGATCCTGGCAAAGTACACCCAGGTACAGTGGGGAGAGGGGACAGAACACAGTTTGTCTGCTTTTTTTCTCTTCATTGGTAGAGTAATAAATGTGAAGTGCTGCTGCTGGCTTACTGGACTCTTAATGCTGCAGGGAAGGTGCAGACTTTCTCTGTCCCCAAAAAACTGTTCTAAGCAATGAGCTGACATTTAAATTCTGTGTGTTTGCAGCTGCAAACAGCTGGGACTTGCTGTTAAACTAAGTTTTGGGTAGTGAGTGCAGCCTCTGCTGAACAGAGCCAAGGGGACACCCAGAGCCTGAAGAAACCTCTGTGGATCCTTTCCCTGCTCTTTTGCAACCCTGTGGCTGCATTTTACGATTCAGAGAAGGGTCTTTCTAACCATCCACCAGTCAGTCATGGGTTCCATAGCCCTGTGTGGGCTAATGCATTGTAGGAGAAATTAACCTCTTTCCCCCCCACCCCCGCATCCCCAGTGACATGCTCTGGTTTAAGGGATGAGTGTAGAGCTTTGTAACCTGCCAGTAATGTTTGTTAAAGGCAAGTGAGTCACGGAGCCTAGTGGGATGGGCCTCTGAGCCCATTTCTCAGAGACTCGTGCAGTGAAAGAGTATGTGTATCTGTGGGGCTATCTGTGTGCCTTGGGGAGAACACACATGGGGAGCTTTGTTAGGGGTGCACTGACTGACTGATGCCAGTTTGTGCTGTGGGAGGATGCAAGAGTGGCAGTGTTAGGAGTGCACATGTGGGCAGTTGTTAGGAGTCGGGTGGGTTAGGCTTTGTCTACACATGGCATTATCCCTGATTTCAGCCACCAGCATAGCTGCACCTGTGCCAACCCCTGGAGCAGGGGTTTCCAAACTGTGGTACGCATACCTCTGGTGGTACGCGCAACATCTCTGGGGGTACATGGGAGTAATTGTGTAATGGTGGATTTTATTTATTGCATTTTCAAAATAGGCTACTCAGCTGAAGCTTTAAAACTCTATGTGAATTTGTTATATAAAATACGGTAGTTAATTTATTTCAAGATGTACCCATGAGAACACAGATACCCAGAGACGCTGATATACAGAGCCCTCACCTCCAATCACCGGACAGCATGGGCTCACTTGCCCAGCAAGTGTCCAGTCTAACTGAGCTCAGAACTTAGGGGGTTTGTTTTTGGTTGTATACGTCGCACTATAACTATATCTGAATGTAACAGTGAAATATGGACAAATGGCTAAGGACAGGTAGTGTTAAGAAGAACTCACAAAGTATCAGTGATGAGAAGGGTAGGGGCACGCGGGCAGCTGGTAGATCTGGAAGCGGACACGCAATAAGAAAAGTTTGGGAACCTCTGCTCTAGAATAAGCAAGGAAAACTGGTGTTTGTGCTGTGGAGCTGAAAGAACCTCTGACTGAAACCAGGGCAGGCTCCACCAGCGTAGCCTGCCTACCCCAACTGTTTGCACTGGTGCAGTTGCATTGGTGGCTGGAATGTAGATGGGGTCTTGGCGGGGCAGTGCTAGGGGTGCACACACAGGATAATGAAGGACTAACCATGTCTTAGAGGACCACCCATGTGGGGGCTGTGTTAGGGTGCATTCCCAGGAGTTCCCATACACGTAGGGATTATCTCAGAGTAGTGATCCAGATCCACTGCCTCTCCCAAGCAGATGGTATGCCTCCTTTCCATAATGAGAAGCCGAGGAGAGCGACATGGGTGGGGAATTAAGGCAGAATCTACTGAAGAGAAGCCAAAGCCCTTTCCTCACTGTGTAGCGGGGCTAGACTAGCGTATTTTGCCTGTTGAACAGAGCAGTGTTCAGGAGGGGATGAAGGTCTGAGTGTGCATCCCAGGAGCTGGGATTGCTCCTCCCTTACTGGGGCCTAGGCAGTGTGACACAGCCTGGCACAATAAGCAGGTGCCCCACCTAGTGGCCAAATGATGGAAATCAATGCTACCTCTAGTTTCTACCTCTCACGCCCACAGAAAGAAGAGTTGGTGGAGCAGCCGGAATTCCGGTACGATGAATTCGGCTTCCGAGTGGATAAGGAAGGTAAGGCTGCCCCTACCCTCTTTCTGGGCCCATTCTATCCCCATGGTACCTCATGTGATAGGATCTCCCTTCCACTCTCTGTGATGTCTTCAGTTCCCAGCACTATCCTGACTCCAGTTTTTTTAGGGATGTGCTTTAAAAGTGCTGGCCCTCTTGGAAAGTGATATCTAAAATGCTGGAGCGCTGGCCCAGCACAGTCTGTGACCCCAGTGTAACTTTGCCATCATGAGGCGGGGAAAGCGTGTTTCACTGGTGCATTGTTGCTGCAGGAGGGGGAGGTACAGCTGTTACGATTCACTGAGCAATATGTGCTGCGGTAAATAGCACTGTAGCTTTTCAGCAGTGCAATGCAGAGCACCTACAGCAGATGCAGTGAAACTCAGTGACCTTTCAAACCTTCTATCAAAGCACCTCTGGTTCCCATCCCAAGGTGGGCAACTGCGATAGGCTATTCTACCCGTCCAGGTGAGGGGAAAGCCCCCACAGCTTGACCAAGGGTGCCTGAGTAGGGGCAGAACCAACAACCTGCTTTAGCTGCACACCTTGCAGGAGGGGAGGACCAAACAGAAAGGGGTTAAAATGGCTGGAGAACCCATGCAGCTGGGCATTAATTATGGGGGCCAGCTGCCGTGGCTAAAGAGGAGGAAAAGAAAAGGAGTGTTTGGCAATGGGAAGATTCCTGGTTGCCATATGAGGAGACGTCACATTGCATTGCTGTACCCTGAAAAGGGGAAAACTGATTTGGGCAAGATTAGCCCCCTGGAAAGGGCAGGAGGAGGCAGTGTTCTCTGTCAGTGGTTCTCAACCTTTCCAGATTACTGTGCCCCTTTCAGGAGTCAGGTTTGTCTTGTGTACCCCGAGTTTCACCTCACTTAAAAATTACTTGCTTACAAAATCAGACATAAAAATACAAAAGTGTCACAGCCACACTAGTACTGACAAATTGCTGACTTTCTCATTTTTACCATATAATTTATAAAATAAATCAACTGGAATATAAATATTGTACTTACATTTCAGTGTATAGTATATAGAGCAGTATAAACAAGTGGTATGAAATTTTTGTTTGTACTGCCTTCACTGGTGCCTTTTATGTAGCCTGTTGTAAAACTAGGCAAATATCTAGATGAGTTGATGTACCCCCTGGAAGACCTCTGCGTATTCCCAGGGGTATGCGTATCCCTGCTCTATGTGCATGTGTGTGTGTGTGTGTGTGTGTGCACACTTGCGCTGAGTGCCACACTGAGCCCTGGGAAGCACCCCAGGGACAGTGACACGGGTATAGGGGTGTGGCAAAGGGAGTGCCTGTTCCTCCAGAGCATATTATAGATTGATGGATATTAATGCCAGAGGGACCATTCTGGTCATCTAGTCTAACCTCCTGCATAACACAGGCCACAGAACCTCACCCCTGCAATTCCTGCATCAAGCTCATGTCCTATGGCTGAGCCAGAACATTTATTTTAGAAAGCCAGTCTTGAGTGAAGAATGCCAATAACAGTGAATTCCCGACTTCCCTTATTAAGTTTCTTCAATGGTTAATTTACCTCAGTTAAAATTTTGCACCTTATTTCTAGCCTGAACTTATCTAGCTTCAGCTTCCAGCCATTGGCTCTCGCTGTGCCTTTGTCTATTAGATTAAAGAGCCTTATTAAATACAAAGTTACAAAACCCAGTGGGGCAGCTGCTGCCAGGCTCTCATTTAACTTGGATGACCCGCTGTTTGGCTGGCTCACGTTTTGAATAGGCACATATGAGTCCCAGCCTCCTATATCTTGGGGTTTCAGTGTGGTTTGCTTGTGACCACACAAGCGGTGCTGGGTGGCAAGCGCAGTTTGAACCCAGGCTGTCATTGCTGTGATGCAGGGCTCATGCATCTGAATCGCCAGCGCCGCCACCAGTGCAGAGGCTCAGATATTTTTGTCTGGCTTTTTCAGATACAGAAGACAGATCTCTCCATTTCTGTCTGTCACTGGTCCCCGCCCAGTCCCTTTCTTACTTGTCTGTTTCCTTCCCACCTCTGCCTTCCCCTGTCTCCTGATGCAGATGGCGCTGAGCCAAACTCCAGCAAGCTGCTGGGGATTCCGCTGACGGAGGAGCCACAGCAGAGGCTGAAGTGGCAGGCCCACCTGGAATTCACGCACAACCACGACGTGGGGGACCTCACCTGGGACAAAATCGAGGTCACGCTGCCGGTTTCGGACAAGCTGCGCTCACTGGTGCTGGCTGGCATCCCACACAGCATGAGGCCTCAGGTGAGGCCCTGGGGCACAGTCATGAGGAAGGGAAGCAGGGAGTATGAAATGAGAGACCAGTTCCTGTTGCTTTCACTTCTCGGTTTGTTGTGGTTGCGTTTTGACCGCTCTTCACCCTATCTTTTCATGTCCCCGATTCTCCAGCTGTGGATGCGTCTCTCTGGGGCCTTGCAGAAGAAGAGGAATTCGGAGATGTCCTACCGAGACATTGTGAAAAACAGCTCCAATGACGAAACTATCTCTGCCAAACAGGTTGGGAGCCTGCCTGATGCCAACGCTCCAGTGCCTGGGGTGGAAACATGGGTGATCTGTTGCACTGGGGGGATGAGGAATTTGCTTAATGCCTGCAGGGACAGATGAGGGGGAGGGGAGAGGTTGGACTATGCTACTCGTTAATTTTTCTCATCCTTTATTTATTATTATTCTCATCCTTTATTGGTTTGAGGGGCTCACTTCACCTTCCCAAGAGGGGAGGAGGAAAGATTTAGTCCGCATCCACACTGTCCTCAGGCTGTGTTGGTTTCTGTGTACATGGGGCAGACAGCTCTGCTGTGAATATATGCGTATGAATCATGCCTAGGTACAAACACTGACCAAGATACTAAGGAATAGGGCCCTACTACTACAAATTCATGGCTATGAAAAACGCGTCAGGGACCGTGAAATCTGGTCTTTTTTGTTCTTTTACCTTTACTATACAGATTTCACAGGGGAGACCAGCATTTCTCAAATTGGGGGTTCTGACCCAAAAGGGAGCTGTAGGGGGGGGGTCACAACATTATTTTAGGGGGTTCGTGGTATTGCCACCCTTACTTCTGCGCTGCCTACAGAGCTGGGCAGCTGGAGAGCAGCGGCTGTAGGCTGGGCGTCCAGCTCTGAAGGCAGCGCCCTGCCAGCAGTAGCACAGATGTAAGGGTGGCAATACCATACCATGCCACCCTTCCTTCTGCACTGCTGCCTTCAGAGCTGGGCGGTCAGAGAGTGGCGGCTGCTGACTGAGGGCCCACCTCTGCAGGCAGCAGCGCAAAAGGAAGGGTGGCAATACCATACCATGCCATCCTTAATTCTGTGCTACTGCTGGCAGTAGCTCTGCCTTCAGAACTGGTCTCCCAGCCAGCAGCCTCCGCTCTCCAGCTGCTCAGCTCTGAAGGCAGCGCAGAAGTAATGGAAGCAATACCGCAACCCCCCTACAATAACTTTGAGACTGCCACCCCCAACTCCTTTTTGGGTCAGGATCCCTATAATTACAACACTGTGAAATTTCAGATTTAAATAGCTGAAATCATGAAATTTACGATTTTTAAAATCCTATGACTGTGAAATTGACCAAAATGGACCATGAAGTTGGTAGGGCCCTACTAATGAGGAAAGGGACCCCTGGGACTGAAATACCAGCAGCAGGCGCATGCCCTATTCAAGTGGCAGCAGCTGTCTCCTAGGGTTTTGTCTTTCCTCCTGAGTCGTGAGGGCTCAAGGTGCCAGCAAGGCTGGGACAGGGAATTTCCTCCCTCCCTTCCCCTCCCTTCTTTTCTGTAATGCCGTCATGGCCAAACTCGCCAAGCTCCTGGGGTAACAAACCAAAAACATCTGATGGAGGGAGGGACTGAACAGTTCAGGGGATTTGGCCTGTGATGTGGAGCCTTTATGCTCACAATCATGAACTACAGTCAAGCCCAGGCCCTTGCCATCGGATTGTGATTTGGTGGCCTGCCTGAAATGGGCGGGGTGGGGTGGCCTCACTCCAGATCCCGGTGGATAAATGTCCACTTTACAAACCCCAGCAGCACAGACTGTACTAATTGGCCTCTTGCTGCCATTCTCAGGGGTGACACCAAGGACCGAATGGGTCAAGAAGTATGAAGTCCCCTCTCATCCCTCAGGGCAGTCCCTCTGAGGCAGAGTTTAGGTACCTTGGAGAGTGTGTCTGAGAAGTTGTTCTGTCCCTGGCTATGCTGTCCTGAGGGTAAACAGAGGCCTTCGGGCTCCAGATGGTGCCAGTCCAGTACCTTGCACTGGCACTAAATGTACTTTAAAAGGATGTGGGGAAGGCTAGGGAGTGTGTGGCCAGGGCAGGGCATCAGGGAGGCCAAGGGAGCAGGAGGCTGTTAAGCAGATTACACTATCTGAGTCTGAAGCAATTGTTTGTGACGGGTGCTTGCCAGATCGAGAAGGACCTGCTCCGCACCATGCCCAGCAACGCCTGCTTCTCCAACATGAACAGCATCGGGGTGCCACGACTGCGCAGGATACTCCGGGGACTAGCCTGGCTTTACCCAGAGATCGGATACTGCCAAGGCACCGGCATGGTAATTCCACTTGCCCCTGCTTTGTGTTCCTTCATTAGGGATCATTCTTTCCGCAGTAGGTGAGTCAGCGCAGCTGATTTCAGGCAGCTGCAGTGCAGCTGGGCACCATGCGAACCAAATTAGATCAGAGGAACAGACAAAATGGAGCCATTTCGCGGGGCAGGAGAAATGGAAGGAATAATTCTGCACATGGACTAAACTAGTCTGTTTGTGGCAGGAGAGTGATATTGTTTATTTGATTGACACGAGACTCAGCTGATGTGACTGAAATAGCAAAGAATCTCTTCGGGTGGCATGTGAAAGAAATTCCACCAATAGGAGAAAGCAAAGCAAAGCTCCTGGGTGTGGAAATGAGGGATGTTTCCATCTCCTAAACTCTGGAGTTTGTCCATCTCCCACACAGACCTATGGAAATGTTCCACTCCACCTAAGCACCAGTGAATGTCCCATTTAGTGCAAGCTTGGAATGAACATCTCTTCTTCCCCTTCTCACTAGGTGGCGGCTTCCCTGCTGCTCTTCTTGGAGGAGGAAGATGCCTTCTGGATGATGTGTGCCATCATCGAGGACCTGGTACCTGCCTCCTACTTCAGCACCACGCTGATGGGAGTGCAGACCGACCAGCGCGTCCTACGCCACCTCATCGTGCAGTACCTGCCACGGCTGGACAAGCTCCTGCAAGAGCATGATATTGGTAAAGGGGCCCCTAAGGCCATTGAAACTTCTGACCCAGGGTGCTGCTTTCAGCCTGCAGGCATGACCCAGGCTCATGCGTATGTACATGCGTATGCGTGTGTGTGTGCGCGCGTGTGTGTGTGTGTGTGTGTGTGTAAGAGAGGCCTATGTACTGCACAGCACCTTAAACTGAAATGATGTGGTAGGAACCCACAATTGTGAGGCTGCTCCCACAATACCCCTCTCCCTCTCCAGCCGAATACACTCAGTAAAGTGTCCCTTGGTTCATGTGGCAGTGATGAATTCAGTGTATTCCTGTTGCTCCATACTCTGTTTGGTATGCTGCAGGGCTTGACGATGCAGAGCTGCAGCATTGTGGTTGTGTTTTGGGGAGAAGCTGTTGGTTTGAGGGTTGGACTGGACTTACTGGGGGGCTTTTCTCACCCAGGAATGCCTGGGAGTCTTGTGTTTGGGGTTTTTTGACAACCCAGGAGGTCATGGAGGCTTTGGCACTGGGATGGGGAGATGCAGCATCTCTCCCTCTCTCCTGTTTGGGGGCCACAGGGAGCGGGGAGGGACATTAAACTTTTGAGGAGGGGGAGGTTTGAATTCCTGGTGTATGGCTGTGGCTGTACGTACGCGCACACAATGTCGCATGTGGTTTTGGACGTTCTGATTGAGTCTTGTTTAAAAGGGGCACTGTCATATCTTAGGTCCCAAGAAAATGGCCTTATTCCTATGACTGTTTTATTTTACTAAACACAACGCATGTGAGCCTCTCCCTGCCCCCCCCCCCACGTCCCCCAGAGCTGTTCATGCGCTGACTGATGTCATCAGAGTTGTCCTCCTTTATAGTCATGGTGGCTGGAGAATCCCCTGGGAATGAGGAGTAGTTGAGGGTGTCCCTTTTAGGCTGGGAGGGCGGTTCTGTGTGGGCTCTCTTCCTTTCTGGTCACCCGATCACCTGTGTCACATTCCCTTTCTGTCTCTTCATACACAGAGCTGTCCCTGATCACCCTGCACTGGTTCCTCACGTGCTTCGCTAGCGTTGTGCATATCAAACTGCTGCTGCGCATCTGGGACCTCTTCTTCTACCAGGGTTCGCTGGTGCTCTTCCAGGTCACACTGGGCATGCTCAGTATGAAGGTAACAACCACCTCCTGTGCCCTGATTTCTAGCACCCTGGCTTTCTCTTCAGGAACGAGGAGGATTCTAGGGGTGGGGCCCTCCTGTACCCCCTGGTTGTATCTGGTTCAGGAGTTCACTTTGGGGAGAGCGAGAGCTGCCATCTTGATTTCCTCAGAATCTGGGGATGTGAAGGACGTCCTGGCAGAAGGCAGTCAGCAATCCATTGTTTGAGATTTGGGAGACTCAGTCAAGAAGATGGCTTCCCTTTCCTGCTCTTTTTCCCCTCACCTCCACTCCCCATGTCTCACCATCACCTTCCCTCTTTTGCTACACCCCCCTGACTCCTGAGCCCAGAGTAACACAGACTGGAGACTTGTCCTGCCCTCCCTGGCTCCGGAGAGTTCTTGGTTTTTTACTATCTTTGGATGGAGATGTCAAACCAAGTTGCTGACCATTTGGGGATGATAAAAGATCCTTTGGTGCTGTTCACACAATCCCTGTTGTCGTGGCCATATTTAGTTTGGGTGATTACCCTAAACTTTCTCCCATTCAGAATTCAGGGGAAGTTATCCTGTGACTCTCTTGTGTAGCATTGCTGGTGCAAGATGGCGATTGTGCAGCACCTTGAGGTGCCTGCGTTTCTGTGGTGGATGAAGTGATTTCTGTATAATGTGCTGTGGGATCCTTTGGTATGAAAGTGCTAGAGCAGTGTGAGATGCTGCTGCTATCTCCTGACCAAACAGCTTGGACTTTTTCTTATTGAAACTTTTAAGAAATACTCTAGTTGCTCCTGGGTTAAATTTCGTGCCTAGACTGCATTCTGAGGTGTAAGCAGGGCTTTTAGCAGTCCTGGTGAGTGTCACTGACATCCTCAGCGTATTGTGTATGCGTGGTTTCTCCCCATTCCCGCAGGAAGATGAGCTAATCCAGTCGGAGAATTCTGCCTCCATCTTCAACACTCTCTCGGACATCCCGTCTCAGATCGAGGATGCGGAGGTGCTGCTGCGGGAGGCCATGCGCGTCGCTGGCTCACTGACAGACATGGCAGTGGAGACCCAGCGCCGCAAGCACCTGGCTTACCTCATCGCTGACCAAGGGCAGCTGCTCAACCCCAGCGCCGCTGTCAATAATCTATCCAAGGTGGGTGCACGGAGTCCTGCCCATCTGGGCTGTTAGGGGCTGTAGATCCCCTTCGTGACACTGCCTTATGGGCTAGCTGGCCATCCACCCTTATAACACTCTGTTAGCACGAGGCCACCCGGCATTAGCAGGCTTTGGCTCCATGATAAACTTCCCTTCTCTCACCTTCCCAGGGAGGGGGAGTGAGTGCTAGGACTGTGATGGGAATGTGACCACATGTACTGTTCTCACTGCCAGGAGGCCATGCTACCAGACCTCCCACACCTGCCACAGCCACCAGACCTCCCACACCTGCCACAGCCAGCCCACGCAAGAGGAATCTCAGCAACCGGCTAAGCACTAAACATTGCCTTTCACTCTCTCGTGGAATGAATTAATTTTGTGTTGCAATAGATCCATGGGTCATCTCCTGTTCTCCCCCTCACCAGCCAGTGTTTGGCTGTTTTTATGCTTTGTTCAGTCCTGTTCTGCATGTCCCTGATGGTGATCATCCACCCTTAGATTAATCCACAGCCTGATAGATCCCTCTCTCAGAAATCATTCCTGCTGGTCCTGTTGCTCAGAGTGCTTTGGTTACTGCCCATTCTGTCTAGGACCACTCCGAACAGTTCCCCTCTCTCCTTGCAGTGTACACCCCTCAGAGACTTGCTGACGGTCGCTGTATCCCCTTGCCCTACTCTAGCCCCTATATGCCAATCTATATGTGTTTAGTTCTTCTAATGTCTCCTTACGAGTCCACTCTGTCTCACTCTTCTCCCCCCCCCCCTTCAGATTGTGCGGCGCAGGACCCAGCGCAGGAAATCTGGCATCACCTCGTTGCTTTTCGGTGAGGACAAGTGTGTTCCTTGCATGTTGTGATGGTGCTATCAGGGTGGAGGGTGAAAGAATAGTCTGGAGGCAGAGGAGTGGTTGGGCACAGGGAAATGGAGTGGGTGACAATTCCTTCAGCAACAAGAGAAGGTAAAGCAAGGGAAGAGATTGAATGAGGAGGAGAGAAGGGAGTTGAACTTGCTGAGTCTGCACTCCCCAAAACAAGAAGCAGACTTTTCCTGATAGCCCAGAAAGTAGCGTGCTTTGATCTTTAGCCCTTAACCTTCTTGCTGCAGGTCCATTCACTCCCAAAATATGAAGCCATTTAGGACAGGAATATCCAAAGTCCCTCTTTTTACTCCTGGGGGAATTCTGCACCACTGCGCATGTGCAGAATTTATGTCCCCTGCAGATTTCTTTGCTTCCCCACAGAAAAATGACTTTCTGATGGGGAAGCAAAGGGAAGCCACAAGAGTGGTCGTACAACCTTCCCCAGCAGTATGCTTCGGGTGCCCATGGTAGCCAGCAGAGAGGTAAATCATTGTGGGGCAGGAGGCAGGACTGGGGAGGACTTGGCTGGGCTGGGGAGGACGGGATTTCCCCTTCCCCTGCATGGCATCTGGGGCTGTTGGACCCACCCCCAGATTTCTCCCCCAGCTGTAGGAAGCTCTGCAAACTGCCCCCCTCCTCCTCCGCACGCACTTCCTGCACCCATCACTCCTCAGCTGCAGGGGGAGGGATCACTACAAGGAGCTGTTCCCCCATCCGCCCAACTCCTGTGCATCCAGACCCTCCCGCCTAGCCTCACTCCCCCCACACCCAGAACCCCACCTGAGAAGTCCCACTCCCCCTGCACCTGGACCACCCCGACAAGCCTCCCTACGGAGCCCCAACCAGCTGCACCTGGATCCCCACCCCACTGAGCCCCACTCCCCCAGCATCTAGGCTCCCCACACCCAGACCCCCCCACTGAGCTCTAACCTCCCCTGCTGAGCCCCAGCCCCCCTCACCCCCCTTGCAGAGTCCCATTAGTGTTGCACCCAGAACCCTCCCACAAGCCCCTGTGCATCCAGATCCCCCACTGAGCCGCCTGTACCCAGATTGCCCCACACAGAACCCTCTCAACCCACACCTGTATCCCCCACACTAAGCCCTTTCACACTTGGAACCTGCTTTGCTGAGCCTGCCTGCCCATACCTGGTGCACCTGGCATGGAGGGGCAGGGCCCTAGGGTGTTTCTCGGACAGGCCTGGTCCTTGCGCTGTGTCAGGGCTGGGTGCAGCCTCACCACTGAGTCCGGGGGGAGGAGTGGGGGGAGCTGCACAGTGATCTCCCACCTCTGTGCAGTCAGTGGCCTGTGCTCCCCAATGCCATGCTGGAGCATCCACGTTTATTTGACAAATAAAATTTGCAGAAATTTGCAGAATTTTATAATACTGTGCACAGAATTTTGAATTTTTTGGTGCAGAATTTTTAATTTTTTGGCACAGAATGCCCTCAGGAGTATCCTTTGGAGACTTAAAATGCAACCCATGACTGTCCATACCCCCTATCCTCATCTGAGATCTCTACTCTGAACACTTTCATGTTTTAATTTTCATTGCGGGTTAGCTCACCCAATACGTAACATCGAGGAAACCATTGGCACAAGCAAAGGGTAGCATTATGCATGCATTTAAAAATACATACCTTATGGGGTAGCAGAAGCTGACTTCCCTGATAAGAAATAGATCCTCCAGAAAGTACGATATCTTATTCCAGGGCAGATTTTTGGGTTGGGGGGAAGATTGGAAAAAAATTAGGAATGGTGTTTTTGGGGCCAAAACGTTTCCCCCGTCATTAATTTCTTGAAAGTTATCCTGACTTTTCTCCTGGCTCATCATGTCTCCAGAATGGCCTGGTTGTGAAACTCTGAACTCGTGTTGTGTTGGCCTTGCTGAGGAAAGTGCCTTTAGTATTTTGTCAGGTTAATGGGGAACTACAAGCTTGTACAGTATTGCGTTTAAAAAAAATGCAGTGAAGGATGTTAAGTATGCAAAGTCAAGCACTCACTGGTTAGGAAATGGCAGAATGAATGTTACCTGTGCAACTTAAATCTGGGCCCCTTGTGCATATGCATTATGATACAGTTTTGAATTACAGGATCATGTACAATCATCACAGGACCCTGCCTTATTCAGTGCACAGAATGGATGATGCTCACTTGATTGAGCAGATATTCAATATTTTGTTTTCTCCTCATTGGTCTGTGTGTGTCCCGGGCTTTATTTACTGCACACTGTTCAAACCCTGCTCTGAAGATAGAGTTATTAATTTCCTTACGGGCTTTTCTCTGGTGTTGATCGCTTTAGCATCTGAGTATTTCACAAGCTCTAACGAACTTATCTCCACAACACCCCTGTGGGAGGAGTAGGTGTTATCCTCATGTTACAGATGGAGAACTCAGGCCCAAAGACATTAATGTCAAAAGTATCCACTAATTGGGTGCCCAATTTGAGATGTCTGTAGCCTAATCCTTCAGAGTGATTAGCATTATAGCGCTTTATATGTTCAAAGCACAGTTCCCATTGGCTTCAGTGGCAGCTGGGAGTGCTCAGCACTTCTGCAGTTCAGACCAACGGCTTGGCTACACTTGCAAGTTAGAGCGCATTAAAGCAGCCCCGGGCGCCCTAACTCCTGAGGTGTCCACACTGGCAAGGCACTTAGAGCGCCTGGACTCTGCAGCTGGGGCGCTCCTGGTAATCCACCTCCATGAGAAACATAAAGCTTGCTGCGCCCTGGCTGAAACCTCTGGGCGTCAGTGTGGACGAGGTGTTGCATTACTGTGCTGTGATTGGCCTCCAGAAACGTCCCATAATCCCCTGAAGTCAAGTGGACACTCTTCTCATTGTTTTGGAATCAGCTGTAGGAATGTGGCTATCCCCTTTCAAAGCTCTGTTTCTGACAGCCGGCATGCTTATCTGCTCCGGCACAAAGCAACCATTAGTGTGGAATGCTGCTGTTGTGAGTGTGTGTGT